TTTATTGTTGGAGGAAGGTCATTTATGTATATTATAAAAAGCAAGGGCCCTAAAATTGACCCTTGGGGAACTCCATGTTTTATTGTTCCCCAGTTTGAGAAAAAATTTTGTTTGTTTTTAGGTGGTTTTACTTCGACGTTTTGTTTTCTATCTGTTAAATAGGATCTGAACCATTATGCTGCTATTCCTTGAATGCCATAAAAATGCAATTTATCCAACAAAATTTCATGATTTACACAGTCAAAAGCTTTTGCTAAATCACAGAAAATTCCTCCAACATGCATTTTTTGGTTAACAGATTTTAGCACATTGTCTGTTAGTTTGAAAGCTGCATCTTCAGTGGATACACCTTCCCTGAAGCCATATTGTTCCAGGACTAATATGTTGTTAGCATGCATATGATGACTTAATCTATTGTACATAATCTTTTCAAGCACTTTAGAAAAAGTAGTTAAAAGTGAAATTGGCCTGTAATTTGTCATACTGGTTTTGTCCCCTTTCTTGTACAGCGGTCGTACTATTGATATTTTAAGGCGGTCCGGGAAAATGCCTGTGTATAATGAGTGATTACAAATGTGGGTTAATGGACGACTAATTAAAGCCGAACAAGCTTTCAAAATTTTACTTGTTATTTCATCATAACCTGATGAGTTTTTTGACTTGAGGGACTGTATTACACTTTTCACCTCAGTTTCAGTCCTTCCTATAGAAATCCGTAGTCTTCTGTTTCACATATTTTCCCTCATCATCAAGGGGCAGGTTTCTGTTGAATCTTGTTTTATGGTAATCACCCTTGCTCGGACTTATATTAAACCTTCTTAGTGTATAGTATGTTTGCATCCTCATTTATCACTACATGAACTGTTTGTCATGACTTGCACACTTTGCAGAGATATCCAAACAGAAACCATTCTCTTTGTATACATTTCAGATAGATACCTGCTTTCCCTTTAAGGTACCTGAGCTGTGGTACACTTGGAGTTTCATGTAGCACATCTTCAGAGTACCAAAATTAATTTCAGGTTTACCATTTTCCACCAAAATCTGCAAGTTCTTGCATAAGGTAACAGGCAGACCTAACACTTACATTCTTTTACTACATGTTGTGTTTCTTCAGAGCACAGTGTTGTGTACACAGTGTGTTTAAGCAAACACATATATAATGCATCCAAATAAATGTGTAAGTGGACTTCCTATTTTCAGAAGCCTATTCTTATTTGGAGGTACAGTCACTGTGTATGTGTAATGGTCTTGTGACATGAGTACTATTTTCTGTGATATTTACTTTATCCAATTTCATATGAAGTAATATTCTAAATTATGTCTATGGTACACATTCTTCTCATTGTATGGCACGTTTATATGCAATTTTTATGTTCCTTGTCATGCAAGTACGTCTACAAAGTCCAGTGAAAATGTGGTCTGCCCAAATCACATAAAACTTTATATGTGATGTAATTGCTAAGAAGTGTTGTTCTGTCCCTGTTAAGATGTCCGGTTATCACATCGTCAGTATGAAGATGGCTGTCTTCTGGGAGTTTGCACAATTTAATCTGGTAGATATTACTGACATTTCAGAGGTGCCTTCTGCCATCACGTGATGATGCAGGCAGTAAGCTCCACAGAAATATCTGTCAGTATCTATCAGACTACATGGTTCAACATCCCAGAAGACAGCCATCTTCATTTTTGTATATGGTACTCTGGTTCTCACCTAACAAATTTATATCGTCCAAAATTCATAAATCTTGTTTGAAACATTTTACATTCTGCAGCGCACATAATTCCATCCCTGGTGCTGCTGGTTATGTAAATACCATCCTGTCATCATAGAGAGTTCCTGCTGTTCTCTAATTTGGTTCTTCACGAAGATTTATGAAGAATGTATATGACTTGACTCCTATATATGGAGGTATGTGCACTTGTACTCTTTATAAAATATCAGATTAAGTGACCTTGTTGATAATGAAATCAATTAATATTTATTTTTAAGGTAGTTATTTGTTTTTGATATAAAGTAGCATAGAACACATAATGAAGCAGGCTTACATGAATTTAAGATATATTAAAGCCTTAATTTTTTTATGTGAATTTTTTTTTGCTAAGTTAGAGAAAGGAGAATGTCCTATGTACATTTTTATCAGCATTAGTGTAATTTTATTTTAGTTCACTCTCAATACAAATTCTTAATAATTGTGCAATGATTTTAATTGAAGCTTGTATATTTGTTTTAGGAATTAAGGCAGATGGACCAATACCACCATACCTAGGAGGTGGAGTTTCATAATTTCTTAGTAATTGGTTAATGTTCTTGATTTGGGCAATCTATCTTGACTTTTTGATCGCAGATTGGCTGTTGAGACATTCGTGGTAGTAGTACGCAATTTTAAATCTTGCTCTGGTTTTCTTATGTGGTAGATTGTGCTGTATACTCTTATCAAAACTACAAAGATGGTAATTGGAACATGTCTCTTAGTTTAACAGAATTCCGACATCAAGACTGCCGCCACCATCACCGACGCCAAGGGCAAATTACATTAATCTCGTGATAGTTGGTGAGTTTTCTTTAGTTTGGAGCATATATACATTTTTTGAGCATGGAATGGCTGTTGATGTAAACTTGGTAGCAGTACACAATTTTATATCTTGCTTAATTATTGTATTAGGCAGATTGTACTTGAAATTCTTAACTACAATGATGATAACTGGATGTCGTTTCATTTATTCACGAATTCCGAAAACCGGACCAACATCAACACCGCTGACCCTTGGGATGCTGTTAGGTTGATTTCGTCTAATTTGGTGATTTATCTTGAATCTTTGGATGTTCTGCGAGGGAAAAATCGCATACTTTGTAGCAGCATGTAATTTTATATCTTGCTTTAGATTTCTTCTAATTTAGCAGATTGCATTTTAACCTCTCATGAAAACTACATTGGTGTTGTTCTTAATTCGAGCTCGTTTCTTAGATTTTCAGGAATTCTGTCGACCTGACCACCACCACCACTACCACTACCACTACCACCACCGTACATAAGAGGTGGATTTACTTCACCTCGTCCTAATTGGTGAGTTTTCATTACTGAAATATCTAAGATTTTAGATTTCTGTATGCCCCTGCTGACTAGTGAGAGAAATAATGAACGATGTCAAGGATAGCAGGAAATAATTTCTCCATAGACGAAGACTACCAGTTGCTGCTGGACAATAGGTTAACAGTAATTAATTCATTGGACGTTGCTTTTTGTTTGAGATATAGTTTTGTGTACACACCTAGAACTGGTTCTAGTCATGACTTAAGGTACATGTCAAATTATATCCCGATTATATTTATTTTGTATATTGGAAATGTTTAACATATAGATGCTGAAGTCTTTTGTTCAGCACACAAATTCAGTGTTGAAAGGGTTGTCAACACTTGCCACTAATTTAAAATTTGTTATTATGATGATGAACCAGTCAGCTGATTATGCGAGTAGAGCTAACTCCTGAAACACTGTGTAAGTCACACCGATAAATGTATTTTAGTAACGTGTCCTACATGTAAGTTAAAAAGTAATTTTGACAGCTAGTTTTGTATTTATAGTATGTTTGGGAGACAGACACTGAAAGGCTTAATATGTTTGCAGTTATAAAAGATTGAAAGAAACTTAAACCAGTAGCGGCCCGTCCATAAGAGCTGCAGAGCTGCAGTACCCCCTGTAATTTTTCAAAAATTTAAAAATTTATTTTCTGTATTTATATAATTTGTAACACTTCATTTCTTCTATATCATTATTTTAATAATGCCCTTACGTTGTCATTGTCCACTAATTGGCTGAACTGACATTAAGTTCACAGGCGAGGAGTGCAAAGCAGAACTGGGCTAGGATTTCAGTGGGGCTAGCCGGTCAAAAGTAGAGAGCGCTGTGGGCGGAGTGAGGGGCAGTTCACTGTTATAGCCTGTGCGTCCGTGCTGTCAGGCTTGCAGCTCCGGTTGCTTCTCACACGTAGACCAAGGTGTGAGGTGGAGTGAAGGGCAGTTCACTGGCACATCACGTATTGAGGCTGCTGTCCAAACAGCTGGCTTATAGTAAACACACTTGCTTGGTACCACGTGTTTTAGACTGGTTTTTGTATCACAATCTGTTTCATGTTATTGTTAATGAGTGTTCAATAATTCTGTGTGCTGACTATTTGTTGTTCTGTTAATGAGAGTGAGGAAAGGAAGTGTATCATATTTACAGCAAATTACTTTTTCTCAATTGTCGAGTGAAAAAATTGACGTAAAACATCATGACTGTCCTCTTCCAGACTTACATATTGTTAAAACATTGTCGGGCAGGTATGGATTTTCCCCTGATGTAAATTTATTTATATTGTTATGTGTTGTAAAACTATTCTGAGTTTTCCCCCTTGTGTAGCACTACCACTGCTCAGACTGACAAGCCGCCACTGTTTAAAGCCTTTTTATTCCAGTCCTTCAAGTGGTTGATAAATCAATATTCAGTGTGGGATTGGTTTTGTTGTGTAACTTCACTTGTGGGAGGAACCAGACTTGCAGTGTTAAGAAAAGTGGTAATAATTGTGATTTTCTATCAAATTCATACTCAGTTTGTAGTTAAATTAATAGCCTAGTATTTTATGTATACTCAGGTATTTGATTTGTTAATTTTGTTTGAAACTTTGATTCATGGGACAGACACTGCTACAGGCATACGCTGTATGCTAGCAAAAAGAAGATGGCGAGACTTAAGTTTTGAAGTCATACCAACCATGCAAAGTAATATGAAATGCCAAGTTTTGGTTTCAAAGCTAAAGAAATGCTAAAGTTATCGCACCTGTAGACGTCAACCTAATTGCTGTGATGTGGTTGTGAAATCTGTACCTTGGTTTGCCAAATTGAGTAAACAATGTAAATAATGCAATTTATTTTTTAAAATAAACTGTAAATATGACAAAGTAAGATATGCAGGAAGTATATTTACTGTATTATGAAATGTGAAGTAGCACCTAGAAAATGCTTCTTAATTGATTGAGGCTTCATGGAATATGTCTAAGTTAAATTTTAACTTAATTTACAAGTACTATGTCAGGAAAGTTTTTCTCTATGGTAGTATGAAGATGATTTCTCAACCCACAGACGCTGTGCCATGTGTGGCCCACAACATTTTTTTATACTTATCATTCTGTTTGATGAAAATTGTTAGCAGCGATCAGAAAACAATATTTGTGAATGTAGTGACAGTAACTGTTACTGTAAACAAGACATCCAGCATTAGGCTATGTAGTTTTCTTCTCTGTGTGCCAGTCTTACCAACAGAAATCCATAGCCTTCAGTTTCACGTATTTTCCCTTATCATCCAGGGGCAGGTTTCTGTTGAATCTTCTTTTATGGTTATCACCCTTGCATGAACTTGTATTAAAACTTCTTAATATATATAATGATTGCATCATCATCTATCAAGACATGTGATGATCCTCATGACTTGTGCAGTTTTGCAGAAACATTCAGACAGAAACCATTGTCTTTACATAGATTTCAAATAGATACCTGCTGTTTTCTTAAGGCACCATTACTGTGTTACACTTGCAGTTTCATATTACATTTCTACAGAGAACCAAAATTAATTTCAGGTTTACCATTTTCTACTAAAATGTGCAAGTTCTTGCTTGAGGTAAACGCATACCTAATACTTGTACTCTTTTATGACATGCTGTGTTTCATCAGAGCACACTGTTGTGTACACACTGTCTTTAAGCAAATACATATATAATGCATCCAAATGAATTTGTAAGTGGACTTAGTATTTGAGGAAGTCTGTATTTATTTGACAGTCTCTGCTTCACTCAGTCTATGACCCACCTGTGCTGTACCTAACCCGGTAGAGTACAGCAGAATCCGGAACCGTCAATCACCGGGTCTGGCAGGGAATGAGTGGGGAGAATTTTGAGAAACATTTTGAAAGTTTTCAAAAAATCAAAAAATTCCCCCCACCCGATCCTCACCTCAACAGTTCTCTGCCATAAACAGTCTCTGCCACACACGGTCTATGCTAGACCTAGTCTCTGCAACACGGTTTGTGCAAGCCTCAGTCTCTGCCAGACTGTCTGCCGATCTCGGTCTGTGCCACACCTGGCTGTGCTTGACACGGTCTGTGCTTCACCCGGTCTCTTCTCAAGCCGGTCTGTGTCTTAGTGTCTGCTTCACTCAGTCTGTTCTTCACTACGTCTCTGCCTCACATGGTCTCTGCTTGACTCGGTCTGTGCCTCACCTGTTCTCTATCGAACCAGGTCTTTGCAGAGGCGGCCTGGCGGAGATCGGGTCATAGAAAGAACGATTCGTGCAGAAACCGCATCCTTCACAGACGGTGCGACGGAGATCCTGTCATACGGACACCGTTTTTGGTGGGGAGAATTTTGAAAAAATTTAATTTCAAAATTTTTTAAAAATCAAAAGATGTAGGAAAATATCCAAAGAGCGCACAAAACTAATTTTTTTGGAAAATTCCGACTTCAATTTTCAAAATTTTGGAAAAATCAAAAAATGCCGGAAATTGTCTGAAAAGCGCACAAAACCAATTTTTTTTGAAAATTTTCAAAAAAAATTTGAAAGTGAAATTTTTCAATTTTTTTTGGTTTTGTGCGCGTTTTGGACAATTTCCAGCATTTTTCGATTTTTCAAAAAATTTTAAATTTTTCAAAATTCCCACCACCTGATGCCTTGCAGAACCGTTCTCTGTCGGACGGTTTCCTAAGTACTGTGTCTCGGAAGAACGCAGCTGTTGCCACACACGGCCT